CCGGAGGCTGCTCACCGCCCCTCCCATCCCTTTCCAGGAAAGGAGGGAAGTGTGCAAATGCTTCTTGACATTTTTGGACCAATCTAACTCCAGCTTTGCAGGTTTTGGACACTATATCTTCTCTAGCAATGCAATAGTTCATGTAAAAAAGTTTGAACACTGTGTTTTCAACGTTATTTCTTTCAAGAGAGATTCCCTTCTTCCTGAGATTTATCTAAATGAAGGAACTCAGATTTACCAGCAATAAAATCTCCTCTCTTTTCTTCCAATATAAGATAACTGACTTTTCAGCTCTATTTTTGAATTTTTTTGTTTATTCTCATTTTATAAAAAGTGAGTATGAGAATATTGGGATTATTAAATAAGAGCTGGCAGTTATTCATTTATTTATTTATTAGAAAGGTTCATGAAAATATAAAGCCTGGGAATTTCTAAAGATAACTCCACCTTCGTACTTTTTTGGAGGAAATGATTTTTGTCTATTCCAAACAATGACGCTTAACACAATTGAAAGTTGGCACATTCTTGGTAAACAGCATTTTCCGGGCAGTGTGAAGTCTACTGTGTATTTCTTTTGACCCAGACTTCTCAGTATCATTTTGATCTGTAAAACGTCACAGTTCCCTCTGTAGTATTATATTTACATCTTGGGAGAGTCTGGTCAGAAATAAATTTTTTTTTTTTAATAATTTTATTTATTCATTTTTTCCCCCAAAGCCCCAGTAGAGAGTTGTATGTCATAGTTGCACATCCTTCTAGTTGCTGTACGTGGGACGCGGCCTCAGCATGGCCAGAGAAGCGGTGCGTCGGTGCGCGCCGGGGATCCGAACCCGGGCCGCCAGCAGCGGAGCGCGCACACTTAACCGCTAAGCCACGGGGCCGGCCCTAAATTTTTATCTTAATTCAATGAGTAATAAATAATAAAAAATGTCAAAGTCTTTATCGCAATATTTGGGATTATGACTGGCTAAAGGAAAATATAATAGCAAATTACACATAGAAAACACGTAACATAGTATATTTGACTTTGATATTTCCAGAAGATATATCCTAGACATTTAAAAAGACAAGAGGCTAAAAATGGTAAGAAAAAAACCAATATCTCTCCAACTTCTGAACTATGCAGCCGAAAAGGAAAATAAAAACTTCAATCACCCTTTAGTGTGGGCATTATTTTTTTTAAAAAATTCTAGCTCTCGGTAGATGCACTTGGCTTCTCCACGGAGAGTGTGAATTCTGAGAATAGTGCCAAGAGGTCAGCTCCAAGGATGGTGCACTTGAGCAGGAAAGAATGGGATGGACTCTTCCTCTGCAGACTCAGAACGGAGAGTTCCAAGCATCGTCAGTGCACCAGCTCAGCACACCACTTGGAAGTACACATTTATCTCTCACAGCAGTTCTGTTAGAATGACAGCCTTGGTCTTGGGGACAGAGGAGAAGAATTACTGTCTCTTGGGGCTTTGGCATATTCGCCAATTGCTCATATCATTTTTAAATATGTCACATGCCACTCAACCTCTAGGCAATGCTTTCCGACTAACCAACAATCAACCTCTTCTCTGTCCTGATGAAACCTTGGTTCAAGAACAAGTTAAAGTACTAAAGGCGTATTTCTGACTTTTTCTGTAAAGGAGAACAAATACATCGCAAGATTCAAGGATTGACATGCTCAAGGCAACAAAAATTATAATTTAGCTGACACAGTTACTACATCCTATTCTGTAATCCTTGTGAGATATGGTTCCACATGTGCTCTGCCGAGTGTTAGTCCTTAATAGATATGCAACGCTGACGAGTAACTAATGTTTTCTGTGGATAATACAATTTATTTGTTTCAAAACGTTTACATAATTAGATAAATTACAGTGCCTTTTCTGTGTTGATTTTATACGATTTTGTTTTTGATAGAAGGACAGATAGAATTAGTAAGGGTATGAATGTGCTTTGAGAAAACACAGACATCGTGGCAATCTATTTAGAAAACTGTAACTCAAAGCAAAGCAGGCAGGAGGAATGCATTTCACTCAGGTCAGGGAGATGCTGCTACACCCTGCATGAGCTCCGGCTGTCAGTCATTTTCCTGCATCCCTTTGTAGGGATTATTCTGTTGATTTTTGGCCTCTATTGCTGCTCTTGAGAAGCCACTTGTTAGTCACTCTGGCTGTTAAAATCGTCTCTGTGGTGTTTTCCAGTTCCACAGACATGTCCAGTTGTGGATTTATTGTTACTCACCCAGCTGGGATTTATTGTGCTTTTCAAATCTGAGAGCTCATGTCTTTCATCAGTTTTGGGAAATCCCAGCCACTAATTCCTCAAACATTACTTCTCTTTTTACATTCTCCTTTTTCATCTACTAAAAGAGCCACCAGACATATATTGGATGTTTAAATAGTGTCCTCTGTGTGTCTTAAATTCTCTTTCATATTTTTGGTCATTTTGATCTTCTAGCTAATGTCCTTAGTTTTATTTTTTAATCAGGTAATTATTTATTCAGCTGTGTCCAGCCTGCTGTTAAACCTGTCTAAATGAGGTGTTTTTTTTTCATTTTAATGTCTATATAATATTTATTTCTAGGACTCGGGTTTGTTTTTAAATCTTCCTAGTCTTTTTTTTTTTTTTTTTTTTTTTGTGAGGAAGATCAGCCTTGAGCTAACATCCGTGCTAATCCTCCTCTTTTTGCTGAGGAAGACCGGCTCTGAGCTAACATCTATTGCCAATCCTCCTCCTTTTTTTCCCCCAAAGCCCCAGTAGATAGTTGTATGTCATAGTTGCACATCCCTGTAGTTGCTGTATGTGGGACGTGGCCTCAGCATGGCCAGAGAAGCGGTGCCTTGGTGCGTGCCCAGGATCCAAACCCAGGCTGCCAGTAGTGGAGTGTGAGCACTTAACCACTATGCCACGGGGCCGGCCCCTTTCTAGTCTTTTTTAATAGTAACTTGTTCCTTTGTCAAGTTTTTTATTTTATATTTTGTGTGCTTAATCATAAAAAAATATAGCCTATATTTATAGTTTCTATCATTTTAATTTCTCGTGGATCTATTTCTACTGTTTGTTGCTTCTTCTGATTTTTCCTTATGCTATTGATTTACTTGTGTGTCGATTAATTTTGACTTGCAAGCTTATGTTTGGCTGGGCTTTTTCTGTTGAAATTCTGGGAAGTACATGCTGAGAGTGTACGTATCTAGCAAGTGTCTGCCTTTGCTTCTGCAAAGTGCCTCGGAGTGTCACCAATCTAGTATTACTTTTTATGTTAATCGCTCCACTTGGCATTTCCTGGTTTTTGAATTCTGCATACTCAAGAGAACCTTTCTGTTTATCCCAGGAGAAGTCCAGACACAGAGAGACAACTTCCAGACACAGTCCTCTCGGGATGCAGGCTCGTTTTTGCCGTCCACCTTCTCACTGACGGCGTGGCCCTCGCCCCACTCACTTTATGGAAGGTCTCAGCTCCAGCTCCACCTCCTGCGAGTCCAAGGCCTTGTCTCCAGGTCTCGTGTTGTCATTAAAACACAGGAACCTGTAATTCGCTGGTTTTTGACCACTGGGATTTCCTTTACTTTTTTTTTTCAAGCTCTGCTATGGATACTATTTCATATTTACCCAGTAACTGGTTTGTAATGGGAGGTTTTTCAGATAACCTAGCCTGCAGTATTACATAAGTTCTATGGATGTATACACACAGAGAATACACCTTTTAAACTTGAAGAATCTTTTCCTTCCATGAAGGTAAAACGTCACGGATATTAAGCAACTGTGCAGGAATTGTCAGTGGCTTCATATGCTGACAGATTGACTGTAGGTGAAACAGCTGAGAATATTAGGGGTTATTTTTATTATGCCACGTCAGGCTTTCATGTGAAATTCATAGAAATGCGTTTATTTAGTAAGCCACATAGTTAATTAAGTATATAACTTCATCTACTGGCCAAAAATATACTTTTTTCCCCAGGATAAATTTCAAAAAAAATCCTTCATTTATTGTAGCACAAAATGGAAAAATACAACAAACTTTAAAAAATTTATAAGCTGCTGTTTATGAGCCTGGATTTTCTTGATTAGCAGCAGCACTGAACTGCACTCAAGGGTTATAATTCCCCAAAGGGGTACAAGGAAACCTCAGCTTTCTGAAATTCTTATTGTTGTGGCACAGCCCAGGTACAGTAATTTTGACAAGAAAACAAATACAAATGCTGACTAAAATCAGACTGTAAATTATCCCAATAAGACGCCCTAAAATGTAAGCAGTACCTAGGACAGCACCTTTTGGGACAATTTCATTTTTATGATGCAAAATACAGAATGAGTATCCTGTAAGCTAGACTCTTAGACGAGACTACTAGTGTGGAAATGGAGTCTAATTTTGTCTCTTTCTTGGATTTCTTGTTATGAAGATATTGAGATAGTTGCTTGGTGTCTGTCATTTCCTTCAAGTCTCTCTTTCTCAGTGACAACCCACCCCATGTAACGCTGTGGCTCACTCTCCCTCCCCTGATCCTCTCCACTCTTCTCCTATAGTGTTTATCCCTTCCAACAGGCTATATTTTTATGAATTTATTATGCTTGTTGTTTTTTGTCCGTCTCCTCCCACTGGAAAGTTAAAATCTACCAAAGGCAGGAATCTTCCTATGTTTTGTTTACTAATATATTGCCAACAACTAAAATAGTACCTGTCACATAGGAGGTGCTAAAAAATTACTTGGGATATGAATGAATAATTTTTTATTTCCCCACCTGTAAATCAGAGTGATAACTCATGGCCTCTCGTTTCCTCACAGGGACATGTGGGTACAAACAAGACACGTGCGTGGCAAGTATATTGATTTATCCGAAAGAAAACTGCCATTCATAGAGTAACACCAATGACCATTTTTTTGAAGCATAAAGTGACCTAGCCTTTAAATGTCTTAAAGTTTCCCTCTTAAATCTGTTATTAAGTACATAGCAATTTCCTCATACATATAGAAAATATGTAATGCTCAGCACTTGGGAGAAGGTCATACCTCATTTTTTTCTTTGAGTTTTGTGATCATAACAATCACGGGACTGTCCTCCTGCCAAACCATCTGCCAGAAATCATTCACGGTGTTGATCATGGGGCCCTGCGTGGCGATGAATGCTTTCTCTTCGCCTCTGTAGCCCTAGTTTGAGTAAAGAGACAACAATATTGGCTTTGAGGTTCATGTCTTGCTCTGAAAGTTTAGGTGAAAGATTTTCAGAACAGACAGCTCTGCTCGTCCAAAAGCAGCACAGACTTCCGTGGCTCTGTTGATTCCAGCACCACAATTCACGTGGCTGTTCTCCCAGAAAGTAAGCATTGAGCACGGTACTGAGGGTTGTGATGCTCAGTCCTCCCAGAGCACCTGTACGGCGCCCTGAAGCCACAGACGCCCAGGAAGGGAAGGTCACTGTAAGGGACCCACTGCCAGTGTTGATTACGACTAGCAAACGAAAAACTTGCTAGTGATCAGGTTAAATCAAAATTAATCTACTCTGAGGAAAATAACTAAACCCAGCAATTCCAAACAGCAAGTTGACATGCTCATCAGAAAGAAATCGATGTCTATTTACTTACCCTAATATAATTAGCATTAATGTAGGTGCTCAGAGAATCAGTCACAGTCTTTGGTCTTAAGCACACTCTGCTGAGGGGATCTAGGAAGAGAACAAGAAAGAATACATTAAACAGTTGAGCTCTTTCTAAAGTTCCTTAGAGCTCAGGGACCAGGACACACACCTGTGAACGTGCATCTCCACTGTCTGGCGGGTATCCATGTTTGCCACTGGGTGTCTGCGTGTCTGTCTCCTGACCCATCGTGTTCACTGAGGGCCACTGGGCCCACTCTGACCCCTGTTCCTGACACAGATCTCGCCCATAAGCCCAAGGTGATGGGTTTACACTTCATGCGATTTTTTGTGAGTTTTTGATTCTTGACCCGTTCCTCATCTTTACTCCTTTTCTCGTTCTATGGATTTGGAATTCACACCAGATCTCCTAGTCCTGGCTCTTTTCTGTCCTGCCCAGCACAGACACTCAGTCTGGCCCGAATCCCTCTCTATTTGGAAGGAGCCGTCGCAGTCATGGACAGCACGAATATCTGATATTGGACGATTATTGCAGCACTGGCAGCACTGTCCTACACCCAAAATCACTTTCCATCCAGAAGTTGAAAGGCTCTTTGTGAAAAAATATGGTAGTTATTTTTACCAACATTTACATAAATGAATTAAGATCTAGTCATCCCTTTATGGTTTCTTTAACTCTGAGCCTCTGGAAGGTGAGGCTGGGGGGTTTTCATTCTCTCTCTGAGAGCTCCTGTCTAGCACAGTGCTTCTATATACAGTAGACGCTCAATAAGTGTCTATTGTATTGATTTAAATCGTCCTTTCCATTTTTCAAGAAGCCAGTTCCGTGCATTCCTCTCTAGTAATTGCTCTATCGCTCTCCTTCCCCAGACGGGTAAATTCTGAGAGCTTGTCACCCCCCCGTTCCTACCTCCTCATCTACTGTCCAGTCCCCCTCGTGTTCACGTCGGTCTGTTCTCACACTAGTCTCAGGCAGAGATGCTCTTGCTCACGCCAACACTGACTCTTTGTTACTAAACCCAATGAGCCCATGGTGGTATTTTCTTTCGTGTCCTCTCTGCAGCATGAACAGTTCAAAAACTGTTGACCATGTTTTTGGAGTCCCCTCTTCCCTGGGGTGCCGGGTCACAGCAGTCTGGTTCTCCTGACCCCTCTTCCATGGTCTCCTCTCAGTCTCCTGCTTGTTTCATCTCATGTTGCTACTTCTAGGATTCAGCTTGGCCCTCGTCTATGCTCACCTGACACTGCCTTGTTGGGTGATTCATTCATTCTCATGACTGTAACTGACTCCCAAATAGATATCTTAGCCCAGACTACTCTCCTCAGATACTGACCGTTTTTCTATTTGTTGTTTCCTTCTGGATATACCCCAGGTTTGTGAAACTCCACATGCCCCATGGGGTCCTGATAGCCCTCTGTTCTTCTTTGTTAGGTGTGCTACCACAGCCAGAGCCCATGTTTGAAAACCAGTTGTCCTACTGGACTTCACCCTCCATATCTGATCACTCGTATTCTGTCTCTTCTACCACCTGAGATGCTCTGGGGTCTGTGGCTTCCCTCTTCCCGTGGCTGTCTTCTTAGACTAGGACCTGAGCATCCTGTCCGGTCTTACTGTCTTCAATCTTTTTCTTTTCCCATCTATCCTTCTCATAGGTGTCATGGTGGTCTGTGTAAAACAAAATCTGATCACATCATGCCCTTGCCTAAATGCCATCTATGGTCCTAACTGCCATAGCAGCATTTCCCAAACTGTTATCTGTAAATCATTTCTTCTATAACATATAGAATTATGTCATACAAATTATAAATTAGGTCATCTTTAAAAAAAGGAGTTCAGTCATCAAACAAATATGGTACACACTGAATTAACCAAAGTTGAACCACATTCCTTTCACTGTAGGATTTCTCAGGGGCTTTATTATGCTAAAGGACTTTGTGAATTTCCAAGAAGGTATTAAATATAAACTTACTGTCCACTGAACTCATTTCAGTATGAATTGACAATCCAGACGGTCTAGAGCAGAACTGCCCAATAGAACTTCTGTGATAATGGAAATGTTCTCTATCTGTGCCGTCCAAAATTGTAGCCACTAGCCATGTGTGGCTACTGAGCACTTGAAAGGTGGCTGGTACAGACCGGAGAACTAAAGTTTTCATTGTAATTAAGTTTAGATTTTCATAGCCATTTATGTGGCTAGTGGCTGCTCTACTGGAGAGTGCAGACCTAGAGGATGGGACCCAAGCTCCTTACTTAGAGGGTCCAGCACGTCTTGACCTTCTCCCACAGCCTCATCAATAACCACTTTCTACGCCGCCGCATGATCTAGTCACACGGACACGGGTCTGTCTCCCAGATAGCCCGCGTTCTTGCAGGTTCTACGCTTTTGCTCATGTTGCTGCCCTGCCTTCTCTCCCTCACTCTTCAGGGCTCAGTTCAAGAAAGAGCTTTCTGAAGCACCCCTGGCCTTCCCAGGCAGAATTAGGCATTCCTTTCTCTGCTCAGACTCCCTGAGTATCATTTTAGTATTTACCATCTTGTCTTTCAGGTGATTCAACTTCTACCTGCACTCAGTGGATTGTGATGAGCCCTCTACTTTTGTATCCTTCGTGATTTCTGTTTGGTATGTGACTCATGGAGAGTTTAATTCAGAATTAATTTCTATTAGAAAGAGCTAGGACATTGCTTTTGACTTTCTAGATTTTTCTTCTTTTCTTGGTAAACGGGTCAGGAAAACATTCAGTCCTTTTCAGTGTCCACTGATTATTAGTTTCCACAAATGCCCCAAACCACTTAGACTTGAAAGAGGCCTACTCCCTTCAGTTTCCATAATGCCTACGATGTGGAGCTTGGCCCTATAAACTGCTTAGAAGCAGGTTCCCTGTCAAGCTAAATTAAGTTTACACAGAAAATTGGCAATTCATAGTATTTCCAAAGTATTTAGAGGTTTCCAAATACTTTTTTTTTAAAAAACATGAAAAAAACCATATTACTGAGTACAGGAAAATGTAAGGTTCCAACCAATGCCTTTTTAATGTTAGTTTAGATGAGTTAAAAAGCCAAGGATTAAAAAAACCCAAAACTTTATCACTATTATTGTCTTCATCATCATTTTCATCACTACTGTTATAATTTATTCATGTTATGCATTTTAAGTCTACATATTAGTCAAATTCTCTATGATAATTTTTTTCAGAATAGACATTTCTGGACTATAGGTTAAATATTTAGCAAATCATTTATGATTCACCTGGGCAGTATCAATAACAATTACAAACACTGAATGAACACTGGTCATTTTTCCTCCCTCCCTTCTGCTCCTCCCTTTTTATTTTGTCTTTCCTTCCTCTTGTTTTCTTCTTCTTTCTTCCTTTTTCCCTCTCTCCCCCTTTGCCTTCCTTCCTTCCTCCCTCCCTTTCCTCCCCTCCCCTTCCCTTCCTCCTTTCTTCTTTTTCTTCCTCCTTTCTCTTCTTCTCTCCTTCCTTTTTCTTTTTTCCTCTCAACAAATTATTGAACACATACAGATTTGGTATATAGGACACAGGAAATTTCGCATCCTAGTCTCTTTAAAATACCTTTTGGCAATCTTTTTTTTTTTTTTTTGTGAAGAAGATTGGCCCTGAGCTAACATCTGCCAATCCTCCTCTTTTTGCTGAGGAAGACTGGCCCTGGGCTAACATCCATGCCCATCTTCCTCCACTTCTTTTATATGGGACGCCGCCACAGCATGGCTTGACAAGCAGTGCATCTGTGCGTGCCCCAGATCAGAACCAGCGAACCCTGGGCCGCCGCAGCAGAGGGCGTGCACTTAACCACTTGTGCCACCGGGCCAGCCCCCCCCTTTGGCAATCTTAAATCTTCTCTTTCACAGATGAAATGGTTCCTGGATCCTGATATTTTGATTGGCATCATCGCAGATTTTGCCAAAGGTTATTCTGTGCTTGATATTTCCTCTCCAGGAAGAAATATGTTTGAGATTTGAAGTCAAGAGAAGAAGCTATGAGATGAGGGAAAGTGCATCGCTGCTAGTGGCGGGCACAGGCAGGGACTAGAGGATGGAGTCAACCTAAGTGGGAAATGGGAGGAGAGGCAGGGACTGGCCACCCCTTCAAGGTGATTGGGGGTCATCTTCAAACTTGTTGCAGGAGAGAGAGAAGACTGCAGGCTGCATTGTCTAACACGGTAGCCACAATCCACATGTAGCTAAATGTAAGTTAATTAAAATAAAATTAGGTTTAAAAATCAGTTCCTCAGAACATTAGCTATACTTCAAGGGCTCAGTGGCTGTCACACTGAAGACACAGCACATTTCCATCATTGCAGAGGGTTTCAGTGGACAGTGCTGGTCGTGGAATGCAGCATGGTGATTATACGGATATTCGCTTTTAAAGAACCTAGTGAAAATTATAGGAGAAAACAGGGCTCTTAAATACCTCACTTGTGAAACTGTAAACTTTTCTCTCCGTAGTTAGTGTCCCTATTTTCTGGATTGGTTCTGGGGTTAGTGACGGATTCATCTTCAGGTAGGTAGAGAGGTGAAGGAGAAACGAGCACTAGCTGAGGCTTCCTACTACTGGCAACTTTTCTCCGCATTTTTCACCTATTATTATTAAACTCTTTCAGTAGCCCTACAGGGCAATAATATTATCACTATTTTTGGAGATGAAGAAAGGACGGTGCAGGAAGATTAAGCAGCCTGCCATAAATTGTAAATGTTTTTTGCCAGATAGGAAGTCAAGTTTAACTCCACTATTTTCCTTTAGCCACACAACTTGCTGCCTTAATGAGTGGTTCACTTATTTGCTTATCTACTCCGTTTTAGGCACTTAATATAATAAAACAGGAATCATAATTTACATAGGGAACATTACCAGACTTAACATTTTTACATGTGAAATGATGGCCAGAGTAAATGGGGTTCTTTAATTTTATCTGTATTGTTTTATGTTTGTATAAATAAATTGACTGCAATGGAAGAAATATACATAAAATGTATTACTATACTTCATTTTTGTGTAAATATAGTTTCATATTGATGTATGATCAGTTTTTTCCCCATTGCTTTTGTGATTTAGGACATAGACGTGTTTTCATGACTAATATTTGTTTATATTGCAAAATAACTGGATGTAATTTGAGCTTCACACTTTGACCTACCTCTTGGAGTGTTCTGAGCCAGGCTGACACCATCCTTAGAGAAACAGCTATAATTTAACTGGTTCTCAGCCTTCCATATTTCTGCTGCAAAACACCCTCCAAATTATATAAACTCACTAATATGTACAAGCTGGCAAGTTTTAAACTTAAGAGTTTATTGTGGGTTAAAACAATGAAAACAATCCTAATATTTTAACTCTTAATCATTTGCTAATTGTTATTTTATGCAGTGTTTCAAATTTACCCCATATTACAGTCTAAAATAAACCATAAGAACAGCTTTGCACATTCGTCTTTTCTGATGATTTTCAACCAATGGTGTGGCTTGTCCGAGCTATAGTAACTACATTATGTTTCGTGCAACAGGGGCGGGCGGGGTATTCAGGCTGCAGACATTTCCAACAGAAAATCCTTCATTTGCAACACCCGTTGTCAGCACAGGTGCCCCAGTTCATGCGATCCACCCAGTTCTGGGAATGGAAACGCTGACACAGGACTGTGAGGCGGTTGTCTGATACCATCTGGGCAGGAAACAGAGGAGACGGAGCTTTGACATAATCCTATAATTTCCAAATCCTTCTGAGATTAGATGGTCAAGTGTAATAATTGCAATGGATGTATCTGCCCTAATAATGTTTAGTAAATTTTAGATGAAAAATCTTAAGAGAGAAAGAGACAGACAGAGAGAAGACCAGCTCTACCAAAGCACTTTCATCCCCTTCAGCCAGTGGTAGTTATCAAGTGTCCTCAGTAGTGACTACACCTTCAGTAAATAGACTGAACTGTATAGACCGGGTGAAAGCATGCTGTAGTGGAGTGATCTTAACCATGTGTTTCCAGCTCCACCAGAACGGGAAGCCCAAAGACGCCATTAACAGTGATCCTCATTATCACCATAGACCTGGAGAATTTGATGTTTTACCAGTGAATTAATGGACTGAATTATGAAGACTCTACTCTTTCAACGTCCGTACATTTTAGAAATCTTTGAGGCTCCATCTTTCGAGCTGTTGCCTTGAGATGTTTATGGATTTTGCCAAAACCCAACTGCATCTGTTTGTTTAGTGATTGACAATGTTACTTCCTCTCTGAAGTGTTTTTGCTGCTCTGGGCAGAATTAATTACTCAAGCCTCCTGCACCACCTGGCCCGATCTCTATTCTGGCTCTTATTACATTGAGCATAATTACTCGTTTACTTGTCTCTCCTCTCCAGTCTGTGTGACCTCCTTCATTTTACAGGCTGTTCCTTATTCCTGACTGGCTTTTGGCATCAGCTCATTGCTTGACATCGATGAATTTCACTGAGCTAAATTTAGTTGTAGCACAGTCTATAGCAGTGTTTCTCAAAGTGTGGGCCTGGCGTCATCTGTATTAGAATCACCTGGTGTTTGCTAGAAGCACAGTTTCCCAGGCCCTAAAGCAGAGCTACTTAAAGAGACTCCCTGGGGTTGGCCGGGGGCTCTGGGATTTCACCAGGACTCCAGGTGATTGCTATGCACAATGAAGTTTTCTGGTACCAGCTTCACTGAGACATAATTCACACACCATTTAAAGTGAGCCATCATAGAGTTTTGTTTCTTTTTTTTATGCACAGAGTTGTGCAGCCATCACCACAATCAATTTTATAACACTTTCTTTATCCCAAAATAAAATCCGTACCCTTTAGCAGTCACTTCCCAGGTCTCCCAACACTAGGAAACCACTAATGTAGTTTCTGTCTCTACAGAGTTGCCTGTTGGGACCCTTCATATAAATGGAATTATACAATACAAGGTTTTTGGGGATGGCTTCTTTCACTCAGCATAATATTTTCAAGATTCCATGTTGTAACATGCAACTGTACCTCATTCCTTTTCATTGCTGAATAATATTCTGTTGTGTGCATATACTACATTTTACTCATCCATTCATCAGTTGATGGATATTTGGGTTGTTTCCACTTTTGGGTATTATGAATAGTGCTGTTACAAACATTTGTGTACAGCTTTTGTCTGGACACATGTTTTCATTTCTCTTGGGTACACAGCTAGGAGTGGAATGTCTGGGTCATATAGTAACTCTCAGTTTTACCTTTTATTTATTTATTTTTTTGCAGGGAAAGATTTGCCCCGAGCTAACATCTGCTGCCAATCTTCCTCTTTTTTTTTCTTCCCTAAAGCCCCAGTGCATGGTTGTATATCCTAGTTGTAAGTCTTTCTAATTCTTCTACGTGAGCCCTCGCCCCAGCACGGCAACTGACAGACGGTTGGTATGGTTCCACGACTGGGAAACAAACCCAGGCCACCAAAGTGGTGAGAGTGCTGAACTTTAACCACTAGACCATCCAGGCTGGCTCTCAGTTTTATCTCATCCTCTCTTTTGAGGAACTGCCAGACTGTTTCCTGAGCAGCTGCACCATTTTACTTCCCCACCAGCAACGTAAGAAGGTTTCAATTTCTCTACATCCTTGCCAACACTTTCCATTGTCTATCTTTTTTATTCTAGTCATGTGGAGGTGAAGGAATGTATCATTGTGGTTTTGCTTTCCCTGGTGGCTAACAATGTTGAGCATCTTTTCATGTGCTTATTGGCCATTTGTACATCTCCTATGGAGAAATGTCAATTCAAGTCCTTTGCCCATATTTTGGGTTATTTGTCTTTTTATAATTGAGTTGTAAGAGTTATTTACATATGCTAGATATAAGTCCCTTATTAGATGTATAATTTACAAATATTTTCTCACATTTTGTAAGTCATCTTTCTATTTTCTTGATGGTGTCTTCTGAAACACAAAACTTTTTGATCAAGTTCAATTTATCTATTTTTTTCTTTTGTTGCTGTACTTTTGGTGTCACATCTAAGAAATCATTGACTAATTCAAAGTCATGAAGATTTACATCTGTTTTATACTAAGAGTCTTGTAGTTCTAGCTTTTACATTTAGGTCTTTGATCCATTTTGAATTAATTTTTGTATACGGTTTGAGGCAGGGTCCAACTTCATTTTTTTGCATGTGGATACTCAGTTTTCTTGAAAAGGTTATCCTTTCCCCATTGAATTGTTTGACACCCTTGATGAAAATCAATTGGCCATCTGTGTGGCACAAAAAAGTTTTACAACTAAGTGTCTACTGGAATTGTGAGCTGAGTAATAGAAGATAGTATTATAGTAAGAGTAATAGAAGATAAAGTTATTAACCTCAGATCACTTTAATGATTTTTAGTCTTATATGTGTTTGAACTCCATTTTGATGTGTATGTGGAGGTTGTGAGGATGGGAAAGGAAGAAGTGGGGTGAACTGGGGAGGCCTCTCCTTCACAGCACAAACTATTTAATTCAAGAAACTTACTTGGCAAAATGGTCTTATAGCGATTTTTAGTTCCATGACGTGGAATGTCAATTTCTTTTGGATCCACAAAGTTCATTGGTATTTCCTGCAAAAATAAATGATATCAAATTAGTGTGCCTAACGCTGCCACAAAGAACACCTTCACAGGGGGCCATCTGATGCAGAGCTCTATTGGACTTCAAAGTCACGTATAAAACAACAGACACCACCTCTGTTGACCAACACCCTTCCTTTCATAAACATATCAGCTGCACCCTGACAAGCTGAATCTAAGAAACAGCTCTGTGTGTTAGAAAGTATTACCTTATATGTAGGTATTAAAGAGACATACAAAACTTTGGTTAGAGTTTAAGCATCCTGTTCTGACATAAGTGCTAGAAATATATAAACAGGCAGCCGAGAAACGGATTTTTAAACAATGTATTCAAATTTCTTCAAGTATTTATGTAAGTTCAATACCAAGAATATCACTAAGATGGATTCTCTTTTAACATTAATTGTGACTCTTTTAGGATTATTAGAACCTTCCTCCCCAAATGGTAAATATAAAGGGCATTTTTGTTGATTCAAGTGATGATGATGTGATGCTTTTTTGTATTAAGAAATGGTTTATAACTATACTGTTCCATCTGAGGCTGTAAATGTAATATTTTTAGTGCAGGGTATCCAGACACTGTTCTCTCCCACTTAACAAGAATATAAATACTCTTCTTCATTCAGAATATATGTCAAATGATGGAGAGGGAACAACTGGAGCAGAGGTGGCTCCTTGGAAAGGCATTGGGCTAAAATGTGAGCTTCTGTAGCTGACCAGGACAAAGACAACAACAAGCTAAAGTCTTCAAAAGGGTCCAGCAAATATTTAAGGATTTGATTATACAAAATACTATGTTCTCTAACTTAAAATTCTGCAAAGGCTTGCTTACAAAAGGGTAATGTGAAATAAAATAACTTTTATCACTAGATCACATAAAATAGTATTTTTGTCACTTAAACTTTCTCCAAAGGAAAAATATCACTCGACAGCCTAATATTCATTGCAATGCAAGAAGTTATCTACGAATTATTCAAATTGTTCTAGTTTTCAGTCAATCTGAAAATTTGAGAAAAGCCTGACCGTAGTATGAATTTGAGACTTGGTCTACAGAAAGGAGCAGCTCACTTTTTAAATGTCATTTCCTACATCTGCACTATTTTAGGCATTTATGATATCCCAACTAAATGTTCAAGTTCTCAGCTCCAAGTTACCAAATAAGCAAAATTGTTGAATGCTCCACAGAAACCCATGTTCACGTTTGGTAATTTCAAACAGGTCAGTCTGTTTTGGCGAAAGCCACGAGGTAGGCAATACCTTCATTCCTCCTCGCTCCTTCCTGTTTTCTGACAATCTGTCATCTTCCAGCGTTCTCTCTCTCGTTGGTACTCCTTGTTGGGCTCATCTTTCCTTTCAGGGAAGTAGCCATGTGACGGGCTCATCTCAGAGTAAAGACCTCCCTGTGTCTCTAGAAAAGAATACTGGGGTACTTTGGCTACCTGTGTGATTACTGACTGGTTCCTTCATCCTCTAGGTCTCATTTTCTTCATATAAAAAAACAACATGCTCCAAAGTCTAGTGTAAACAACTGCACGTTGTATTTTACTTTGGACACAATCATAGTTCACGAGGCTGATGGATCTGACCTGCTGCTGGATCTTTCACAATTAGGTGCTAGCAAATATCTGAACAGACCCTACAGTGGTCAATTTATTATACTCAACAGATATGGCTTAAGATGTACAACTGATTTAAGATGTGAAGTGTTCTATAAAATGGATATTCCTATGGGCAGCAATTGGATCTAAGAAGGTCTAATCTGTCTCTGTGCTCTCTGGGCAGAAAAGTGTTTTCATGCATTAAGCTATCACCAGCAACACTGATGGTCACCATCATTTTTAGCTGAAACTTGATATCATTTTTAGCCTGCACTTAGTCTTCCCCTGTGCTCCTTATGTCATTAAAGGGTAATATAAGCACCCTGCTGCTCAAGTCAGAAAAACAGGGTATCACCCCTGACTTCCTTTTTCTTGGCTGCTTCACCTGATGAGCCCACTTCTTGTAGATTCCTATAGATTCTCCCCATGTTCACTGCTACTTTTTTAGTGTAGATCACCATCACAGTTCCACATTATCTCCAGAGATTATCTCCAAATTCTCCAAAGCACCTCTTACTAATGCTGACTATATGGCAGATAGTGATCCTTTTAAAACACAAGATAAATTCCAAAATCTTAAATATGTATTAAGACTTGGGTTACTTTTATGTCTCTGAGGCTCAACTTTTGTCACTTCCCACCTTAATTTCAATGCCCTAGTCAAACTGAACAATTTAATTCCCCAAACAGTGACAGCAAGGCTGTTCCTTCTTCCTGGAATGCCCCCGCTCTGCCCAGCTTCTTCTTGCCACTTCTTTGCCTCACCAGCTCCCACATCTTCTGCCTTAATTTAGCTATTGCATTCTAGCACGAATACGTATCAATAGTGGATGAGATGCAGGGTGGATCTAAAACCCTTGCACTTAACTTTTGGAACTGTAACTGTTTGTTTACCATAAGCTGCTTGACTGGAGGGCAGTGTCATTTTAGTACATGCCTCTAGTGCCCAGTATATCAAAATACCTTCTGAAGAGTGAATGACACACAGCAGGCTCACCATGAATTCACTTTGGAGTAAATGTGAACTTGCCACAACGTCCCTCAGCTGTGACCTTGTGATAATTCGGCTGGCTGACTGCAGATACTCCATTGCTACCTTCTCCCGTGGGGTTGGTATAGCCACAAAGGGTTCGATGTTCCCCAAGCTGCTCATGTCCAATGTAAGAGATACGTTGGATCCTCGTCTACATTGGAGGAGAACATTGTTAGATTTAAACACCACATGAATTATTTTGATGGTACAAATTTGTCTTTGTACATACATGCAATTCAGTGAGAACTTTTACGGAAATAAGGACCAAATGTCCTTTTTTCTTATGGTACCATAATTGACTACAGCAACTATCTATAGTTTCTCTAGAGGACACTGATAGGTTTGTCATTGGAAACAACTCTGAATTGAGAAAATGAACTATAATTTATTAATGGTTATACCTGCTACAGAAATAATAGGATGGCTAATAATATTAAGTGAAAAATTTATGAAAAGTAGACATCACATTTGAATTGAGGAATCAGATGTAACACAAACCAACTTTATTTACATGCATATCTGAGAGTCTGGTATGTAAGTCATATAGCCACCTGATATTTTTTGACGTCAGTATACCGTACTCATGATTTTTTTGGACACAGGAAGCTCAGAGGAAAAAACAACAATCTCTTGTTTTAGTTCAAATGATTGCCATTGAAATAGAATTCAAAAGCTTAAAATGTATGTATTTCTTGGGAGTGACATCAGCATCATGGTGGAGTAAGTTGTTCCCTTTGTCACTCCCCTCTAAGTTACAACTAAACAGACATTCATTAACCAACAGAGGATTCCCTACACAGCACAGTAGAATGCCTGAGAGATCCACGCAACCATGCATCTGAAGGTGGGTGGACTGGATCCCCAGAAAGTAGTGGAACTGGGTGAGTGGACCCCTCCACCTCCCCAGCGGCAGCAATCCAGGTTGCAGGTCCTCACACAACAGCTTGCGCAACTGTAAGAGGAGGTGGGGGCAGCCCGGCCTGTGTGTGAACGCTTTCAGAGTGGTAGCCCTGCTGGCGGGAGTGCCCACCATAGAGTGGCAGCTCCTCCCAAGAGAATGCTCCCCACTGAGTGGTGGCAGGTCAGCCCCTGAGAAGGACCCCTGCCTGCCTAGCACAGCAGCTCAGCCAGACTCACTTGCCTAGTGCAGCAGCCCTGCCTGCATAAGAGCAACCCACCTACCAAGCACAGAGGCCCAGTCCATGTGAACGAGATCTGCCAAGCAGCTGTGGCCAGCCCACATGAAGGCAGAGCAGCTCAACTGGCACAACTACCAGCAGATGGGATGAGATCAGAAAACACAGCTCCTGCCTGCCCCAGTGGTGGCAGGTGGAATCTGTCACCTGATACTACCACAAATGTGCCGGCAAAGGATCAATTCATCAAATACCATGAAGAATTACAGTAACACTTTAGAGCAGAAGGAAAATGACAAGTCTCCAGAAACCAAACCTGAAGTCACAGACATTTACAATCTAAGTGACAGAGAATTCAAAATAGTTGTCATAAAGAAACTCAGTGAGTTTCAAGAAAACACAGAAAGACAGTTCAATGAGCTCAGGAATAAAATTAATGAACAGAAGGAAGACTTCCCCAAAGAGAGTGGAGCCCTTAGAAAAAACTATACAGAAATTCTGGATATGAAGAACAAAATTAATGAGATAAAAAATAATGTAGAAACCATAAAAAACCAAAAAAATAGAGCAGATCTTATGGAAGACAGAATTAGTGAATTAGAAGACAGAAATATGGAAATGCTTCAGGTGGAGGAGGAGAGAGAACTAAGGTTTAAAAAAAAAAATGAAGAAATTTTTCAAGAAATATCCAACTTAATTAGGAAAAGTAACATAAGGATTATAGGTATTCCACAGGGAGAAGAGAGGGAAAAAGGAGCCATGAGCTTGTTCAAAGAAATAATAGCTGACAAATTCCCAAACATAGGGGAAGAAAATGGACTTACAAGTACATGAAATCAGTAGAATTCCTAATTACATCAATACAAAAAGACTTTCTACAAGGCATGTAATATTAAAACTGTCAAATTGAATAACAAATAAAAAATATTAAGGGCAGTAAGGCAGAAGGAAATAACCTACAAAGGAACCACATTAGGCTTTCAGCAGATTTCTCAGCAGAAACTTTACAGGCTAGAAGAGAATGGAATGATATATTCAAAACAGCTGAAAGACAAATCTTTCAGCCAAGAATACTCTATCTAGTGAAATTATCTTTCAGATTTGATGCTGACATAAAGGCTTTCTCAGATAAACAAAAGCTGAGGGAGTTCATCGCCACAAGACTTGCCTTATAAGAAACAATGAAAGGAGGCTCCCACCTGAAACAAAAAGTCAAAGGTTTACAAAGCTTTGAGCAAGGAGATAAACAGACAGATAAAATAATAAAATTGCAGTTGTCTATCAGAATAGGTTAGCAAACACTTAATTATAACATAAAAGATAGAGGGAAAGAAAGCATCAAAAACAACTATAAACACTTCAATTTAGTCACAAACTCACAACAACAAAAAAGAATAACTTGTGACAACAATAACTCAGAAGGGGAAGAGGAAAAGGATGGAACCTGCTTAGGCTAAAGGTGATAAGAGGCTGTCAGAAAATGGGTTATCTCATCTATGAGATCTTTTATACAAACCTCATGGTAACAAGTAAGTAAAAAATCAGAGCAGAGCCACAAATCATAAATAAAGAGAAAAATGAGAAAACCATCACAGAAAACCACCAAACTGAAATGGCAGTCAGAAAGACAAGGGAAAAGAAACAATGGAAATATAGAACAACCAGAAAACAAAAGATAAAATGGCAATATTAGGCACTCATATATCTATCAATAATCAATCTAAATGTAAATGGATCAAATTCTCCAAACAAAAGACACAGAGTGCCTGGATGGATTAAAAAACAAGACCCAACAACATGCTGCCTCCAGGAAACACATCTCAGCTTTAAAGACAAACAGAGTTTCAGAGTGAAGGGATGGAAGATGATAATCCAAGCAAATGGAAAGCAAAAGAAAGCAGGTGTTGCCATACTTATATCAGACAAAGCAGACTTCACGATAAAAAAGACAATGAGAGACAAAGAGGGGCAATTTATAATGATAAAAGGGACATTCCACCAGGAGGACATAACACTTATGAATATATATGCACCTAACACAGGAGCTCCAAAGTATATAAAGCAACTATTAACAGACCTAAAGGGAGAAATCGACAGCAATACAATAATAGTAGGGGACCTTAACACCCCACTTATATCAATGGATAGATCATCCAGACAGAAAGTCAACAAGGAAACGAGTGGCCTTAAATGAGACACTAGAACAGATGGACTTAATAGATATATATAGAACATTCCATCCAAAAACAGCAGACTACACGTTCTTCTCAAGTTCACATGGAACATTCTCAAAGATAGACCATATGTTGGGAAACAAGGCAAGCCTCAATAAATTTAAAAAGATTGAAATCATATCAAGCATCTTTTCCAACTACAATGCTATGAAACTAGAAATCAACTACAAGAAAAACCTGGAAAAGTGAAAAATATGTGGACACTAAACAACATGCTACTGAACAACCATTGGATCAATGAAGAAATCAAAGGATAAATAAAAAGATACTTGGAGGCAAATGAAAATAAAAACACAACATTTTGGGATGCAGCAAAAGTGGTACTAAGAGGGAAATTTATAGCAATATAGGCTGACCTTGACAAACAAGAAAAACCTCAAATAAGTAATCTTAAACTACACCTAACAGAACCAGAACAAGAAGAACAAACAAAGCCCAAAGTCAGCAGAAGGAAGGAAATAATAAAAATTGGAGCAGAAATAAATGAAATAGAGACTAAAAAAACAGTAGAAACAATCACTGAAAGTAAGAGCTGATTCTTTGAGAAGATAAACAAAATTGACAAACTCTTAGCCAGACTCACTGAGAAAAAAGAGAGAAGGATCAAATAAAACTTAAAATGAAACAGGAGAAATTACATCAGATACCACAAAAATACAAAGGATTATAAGAGAATACTGTGACAAACTGTATGTCAACAAATTGGATAACCTAGAAGAAATGGATAAATTCTTAGACCGTATAACCTCCCCAAACTGAATCAAGAAGAAATAGAGAATCTGAATAGACGAATCATAAATAAAGAGATTGAAACAATAATCAAAAACCTCCCCAAAAGCAATAGTCCAGGGCCAGATGGCTTCTCTGGAGAATTCTACCAAATATTCAAAGAAGATTTAATACCTATCCTTCTCAAATTGTTCCAAAAAATTGAAGAAGACGTGATGCTTCTTAACTCATTCTATGAGGCCAACATTACCCTGATACCAAAACCAGACAAGGACAACACAAAAAAGGAAAATTACAGGTCAATATTGCTGATGAACACAGATGCAAAAATCCTCAACAAAATATTAGCAAATTGAATACAGCAATATATTAAAAAGATCATACACTATGATCAAGTGGGATTTATACCAGAGATGCAGGGATAGTTCAACATCTGCAAATCAATCAATGTGATACACCACGTTAACAAAATGAAGAATAAAAATCACATGATCCTCTCAATAGATGCAGAGAAAGCATTTGACAAGATCTAACATCCATTTATGATAAAAACTCTCAATAAAATGGGTATAAAAGGAAAGTACATCAACATAATAAAGGCCATATATGACAAACCCACATCCAATATCATACTTAATGGTGAAAAACTAAAAGTCATCCCTCTGAGAACAGGAACAAGATGAGGGTGTCCACTCTCACCACTCTTACTTAACACAGTACTGGAGGTTTTGGCCAGAGCAATTAGGCACGAAAAAGAAATAAAAGGTATCCAAATTGGAAAGGGAGAAGTAAAACTCTTGCTGTTTGCAGATGACATGATTCTATATATATAGAAAATCCTAAAGAATCCACCAGAAAACTGTTAGAAATAATCAACAACTATAGCAAAGTTGCAGGGTACAAAATCAACTTACAAAAATCAGTTGCATTTCTATACACTAATAATGAACTAGCAGAAAGAAAAGTCAAGAATACAATCCCATTTATAATAGCAACAAAAAGAATGAGATATCTAGGAATAAATTAACCAAGGAGTTCAAAGGCCTATACAC